TTACTTTCTCATTCTTTGTGTGTGCCATGGTCATGAACTTTGACATTATTGTACTACATAATTCAAAGTTACAAAGCATTTATGTAGTCACAATAATGCTCATATTGAATATCAAACTAATCAAAATTAAATGAGGATAAAGAGCAAAGGAGTATGTATGTAACTGAAAGGATTAATAAACTGATGATAAAACAGATTTTAAAAACTTTTTATTACATAGTAAAAAATCAATAGACAATGACTACCACTGAAAAATTAAGTAGTGCAACTTACACAGATAAGAGAGAGACAGCTGCCAATTCTCCATATTGGTTCTCATCTCCTTTTAGAATAGTAATAGTTTGAGCTGGGCACATGATTTCTCACAATAAAATGATGGTCCTTTATATTTTTGTATGATCAGGTGGTTAATTATAGATAATGAGACATAAGTGAAAGCATCTTCTATTTTTAGACCATATTTGCATTACACAATAGGTTTATTTTGTTGTGGTGGTTGGTACTGTTATATTACATGATCATTTTGATGCCCTTATCCCTCTCTCCCTTATCTTCTCATTCCTTGATCCCTAACTTGTTTTCTACAACCTATCCATTATTTTACTCATACATTTATTTATATTTTAGACTTCTTATACAAGAAAAATTATGTGACATTAACTTTCCATGTTGGTCTTATTTCACTTAGTATTATGGTCTCAAGTTCTATTTATTTTCCAGCAAACAATATGATTTTATATTTTTACAGCTGATTAATATTCATATATATCATATTTTCTTTCTTCATTCATTTGCAACAGCATCTAAAAGATTGTCAAAGTTTAGTTATAAACATGGGTATGCATTTATTATTATTATAGTTTGATATCTTTAATTCTTTGAGGAATATACCCAGGTGAGGTATAGTTCAGTCAAATGGAATTTCTATTTGTGTGTGTGGAATCTTCATACTGATTTCTATAGTGGTTGTACTAGTTTACATTCCTATTAACAATTTAGAAAGGTTCTTTAACACACATGCTTGCCAGCATCTGTTGCTTGTTGTCATTTTGATTGTAGGATGGAATATCAGAATTGTTTTGATTTGCATTTCTCTAATAGCCGAGAATGTTGATTTTATTTGAAACATATTTAGATGGCCATTTATACATCACATTTTGAAAAGTGTCTATTCAGTTTGTTTTGCCATGTTTTTGATTGAGTCATTTCTTTGGAGTGGAGTTTTTGGGAAGTTCTTTATATATTCTAGATATTAGTCCTCTTTCAGAAAAGTAATTGGCAAAATGTTTTTAAAATTCTGTAGGTTGCCTTTACACTCCGTTGATTGTTTCCTTTGCTGTGTAGAAATTTTAATTTGATATAATTCCATTTATCAAATCTTGATAATATTTCATGTGCTATTGGAGTTCTTTTCAGCAAGTCCTTACCAGTGCCCATGGCTTTAAGATTTTCCTCATGTTATCTTCTGTTTCAAATATTCTTTTTATATGTAGGTCTTTGATCCATTTTGATTTTATTTTATGAAAGCTAATAGATAAGAATCTATTTTCAATCTTCTCTACATAGATAATCATTTTATCCAGAATCATTTATTAAACAGGCTATCTTTTCTTTAATGCATGCTTTTGGCCTCTTTGTCAAAAATATGATCACTGAAGTTTCATCAGGTTCCATGCATGTCTTCTGTCCCATTCCATTGGTCTACATGTCTATTTTTGTGCTAGTATCATATTGTGCTTTTTACTATATCTTCATATTATAACTTTAAATCCATTATTATAATGTACACCACTTTGTTCTGTTTGTGGTGGATTTCTCTGGCTATTCTGGGTCTCTTCTGGTTACATATGAATTTTAGGACTGGTTTTTCTCATCCTGCAAACGGACGTTGTTGGCATTTTTACAAGAATTGCATTTAATCTATGGATCAGTTTTGGTAGTATGGCTATTTTAACAATATTAAGTCTATTTATCCAAGAACAAGGCCTATCTTTTCATTTTCTAATGCCTTCTACAGTTTTGTTCTTCAGAGTTTTAAGTTCTATAATTTTCATAATTAAGAACTTTTAACTCATTGGTTAGATTGAGTCTTAGGTATAGTGGACCTTTGACTTACAAACTCAATTGGTTCCTGAGGGCTGGTTGTAACTCAAGTTGATTTTAAGATAATACAGCTGAGATCTGGATGTTTATCCGGGTACATGCTATAGATAGCAAGAGGCAGAAGAATCTTTCATTAATTTAATTAACCCAAGTTGTTCATATGTCAGGCCATTTGTAACTTGAGGGTCTACTGTATTTAATATTTTGAAGATATCATTAAAGGATTTTTTTCTAAAATTTTTTTGATGGGTTTATTATTATTGTATAGGAATACTATTGTTTTTTGTGTTGATTTTGTGTTTTGGTAAAAATGTCTTGTGGCAATTTCTATGATCTCCCTTTAAAAGACCATTTCTGGAGCCAGGCATGCTGTCAGAAGCCTGTAATCTCAATATTCTTGGAGTCTGAGGTACAGGAACTGGAATTTGCAAGCCCAGATTACACAATTTAGTAATGTAGTGAGACTGCCTAAAAAAAAAAAATCCTGGTGATTGAGCTCAGTGTAAAGTCCTTGGTTCAAACCCTTTACTGAAAAATTACTGGTGGTACTCCTTTCCCTATCATTTATGGTACTAGGGATTGAACCAAGGTCTTGAGCATGCTAGGCAAGTGCTCAACTATTGAGATACATAACCATGCCTTTTGAAAACTATTTTGAGATAAGATTTCACCAAGTTGCTGAGGCTGACCTGGAATCTTCTTGCATCAGCCTCCCAAGTAGCTGGGTTTACAGGCGTGCACATTCTTTGACTCTTCTTTCTTGTATTTTTTGTACTGCTTTGACTACATATGCCATTAATTTGGACCCTAAAGCAAGATGCTAGAAAACAAGGATGCTAGAATAATAGATGGAAGGCACCAGGGTCTCTGAGAACTTCATAGAGTAGAATTGCTATGCTATCTGTAGAATACATACCACTGGACTTATACATAGAATTGAAATATCTTTTTAAGCAGCTGTTACTTTGAGTTCTTCTGAAGCTTAGAGCTAAAAATTAATTCTGAATAATACAGCACATCACTCACAGATTAAAGTAAATACAAAAGGAATCATCTAAAAGAGGGAAAAGTGATTTTGGCTAATTTGCAATAGTAGAAGAGCAAGGAATATTTGTTTTGTAGCAGGTTCTAAAACTCTTGATTCCATATGATATGTGCATGAGTAACTTTGATTTTTAAGAATAGAAATTACAATGACAATAAAACACATGTTCTACATTTTTATATTCTTGGCTTTTGCTCCTGATACTATTATCTCAATCTATTTCCTCTTGAGTTATTTGCATTCTTGTGTTTTCCCTCTTTGTGAACTCTATGTTCCTTAGAATTAGGAAGTATTTAATATATTTCTCTGTACATGTTAGTATACACTACATATTGCAGCACATCCAGTAAATATAAGATTGAAGTTAATTTCCAATCTAGATTTTATAAAAGTCAAGGCTCTGAATAAGACAGTATTAATTTTTAAAATATTATTTATTTGAGAAATCTGTGCCTCATGAAATCTCCTTATATTGTTTTTTCTTCTTATATGTAAGAGAAAATACTTTATTTCTTCTAGAAAAATGTTATGTTTAGTCACTTGTTCTTTAATAAACTTCCTCTTTTATTTTTTAGACAATCTTCTATTTTGTGCTAAAGCCAAATCTTACTTATTCATGAGTCAGTTGTTAATTTTGCATTGAAAGAGATATGAAATCAGCTATGGTGATAATTTTTACACCATAGAAATCATCAAATGGTAAAATTAGAAATTATGTCTTAAAAAACTGATTTCTAAATATGAATCAGAACCACCACTATGTAAGCCTTATCACAATGTCTTTCAAATGGAACATAAACTAATGTTTCCAAAACTAACAAGCATAATTTTTATCTATCATTCATTACATGAATATATGAGAGATAACTTTAAGCAGTGTTATCAAGATATATTTAACATATTATACAATTGACTCATTTAATATATAATATTAAGATATTTTCAATATATTCACAAAGATGTGCAATAATTACAATTGTCTATTTCCAGAACTTTGATCATGCTCAAAGAACTCACATACCTATTAGCAGCCCCCAGCTCTTCCCTACTCCCAGGTCTTGGCAACCGTTAGTCTAAGTTCTGTCTCTAAGGTGTACCTATTTTACATATTTCATATAAATGGATTGTACACCATATGGTCATTTGCTATTAGCTTCTTTCCTTTTCATATTTTCAAAGCTTACCAATTTAATAGCATGCAGGACTATTTCATTCCTTTATATGGCTCCATAATATTCTGTTATATGCATACATCTCATTTTTTTAATGCATCCACTCAATAGATACTTGAGTTGTTTCTACTTTGAGGCTGCTATGAAGAATGCTGTTAACAAATATTAGGGTATGAGTTTTTGGCTGAACATAAGCTTTTCATTCTTTTAAATATATTTTTGGAAGTGGAATAGTGTTAAACTTTTGGAAGGATGTTTTCCAAAGTAATTCAAACGTTTTACATTCTCATGAGCAGTGTGCAAGCATTCTCATTTTGCTATAACCTGACCAATACTTTTTATGTTCTCTTTTTTGTATAGCCACCATGGTAGGTGTTAACCAATATCTCATTTTTGTTTTGAGTTCCATAGTGATTCATGATGTTATACATATTTTAATCTTTATTTTAGTCATTTTTCTTTAAAATGTATCATTTATCTTTTTATTATTGAGTTGTAAGTATTCTTTATAAACTCTGGATTCAAGTTCCATATCAGGTACACAATTTGAAAGTAGTATCTCTCATTTTATGGGTTACCTTTTTATGTTACTGATGCTATTGTTTGCCGCATCTCATTTTTAGGGTTTTTCATTTATACCATGTGGTAATGTGGCATGAAAAGTATTGAAAATGCCTTACCCGAACTATTTCACAGTCAACATTTAATTCAGTTGCAACAGCTTCAATCTTCTCTCTGCAAACTGAGCCCAGACTGGTCATGCCATTGTCCCAATATTTCTTAAGAGTAGCTAAGTCTTGGTCACTAAACTGTGTGCGGTCCTGTAGCTGAAAAAATATTTTTTAAAGTTAGACTAATCAATGAAAGCCATGTTCTAGATAGGATCATCAAGATAAACTGTATTAACTATTTTCAATACATTATAGAGATAAGTATATTTCAAAATACTTTGAATTCCCTCATTCTGAAAATGCGTATTTTCATTGCTTTTTTTTTCTCTAACATAATATAGTGTGCTAGGATGAAAAGAGTAGATTATTTTTAACTGAGAGGAATTTACAAATGTTAATTTTAAATGAGTTTAATGACACAAATCATACATCTTCATTTTAGAAAAGCAATAAATAAGAAGATAATTAAATCACTCACAACATGGAAAAATACTTAACTTTTTTTTGTTGTTACCAAGGATCAAACTCAGGACCTTGTGCTTGCAAGGCAGGCAGCGGCACCACTGAGCTAAAACCCCAGCCCAATACTTAACATTTTAATTGAACTTTAAAAAATTAAAAAAAATTTTTTCTGTAATACACATATTCAAGTTCAAAAACAACACACACCCAAAAAACAGAAAGAATGATATCAGTGTGCTGCATTTTGATAAATTAATCTAGACTTGCTATATAAACCTTGAAATTAATCTCTTAATAATGTTGTAATTAATTTAAAATGTAAACAAACAAAAAGGAGGATAATATAGTCATAAGAATCACATTTATGGCTTAACAAAGCTTTATAGTAAGCCTAAACTTTTGTTTTTCTGCTTATTTTAATACAATAAACTATGGGCTTTATACATCATTTTGTTTAATAGTTGATGGATGCATTCCTGGGATGTAAACTAAAAACTTCTATTCTGCTGACAAAGCTTTAAGAAAAGAAAGGCCCAAGGAGTCATTCAACAGTGCACAAAAAGTCTATGGGACAGTCAGAAATCAAAATAGCTCTGATTGTTTTTCCAGAGGTTTCATCATTGTGATGTCTTCAATTAACTCAAGGGGTGCTGGAAAAATATAAAAATAGGCTTTAATTACAATGTATATCCTATAAAACCCTGTGTGAATGTATGCATGTGTTTGTAATGAGAGAAAGGATATAGACAGAGGTAGAAAAAATTAGAGAGAAAGAGAGAGGTGTAGGGGGAAGACAGAAAGAGAGAGCGAGAAGCATTAAGGGAGGGAGTGAAGAGGGAGGGAAGAGGGAGGAGGGAGGGTGAGAGAGAGACTGTAAGAGTAAGTTAAGGATTAATGTTGCAAAACATAACATGAGGTACAAGGTTCTGTTGCTATGTTCTGCATAAGATCCTAAGATGACATGGTCTGGTCCCACACAGAGGCTAGATTTCTAATGGTTCCTAGATAAACACTGCTTTTGTTTTGTACCAGGGATTGAACTCAAGACATTGCACTTGCGAGGCAGGTGCCGGAACCACTGAGCTAAATCCCCGGCAAACATATATATATATTTTGGTACCAGGGATCGAACTCGGGTCCTTGTGCTTGCTCAGCAGGCAGCAAAACCACTGAGCTAAATCCCCAGCCCCCTAAACATTGCTTTTAATATTTGACTTCAAACTGAAATTTTAAAATGGAACTCCTGAATCAGATTCTGGTAAAAATAGAAAATAATATATACAACACATAGAACATGACATTTCAAAAAAAAGTTACCTTAGTTAAAATTGATGTAATACTAAGCAGCGGGAACACATTTATTTATTTTACACTACACTCTTCTGAAAAGCAATTTTTACTGCTAGGGGAATAAGCAATATATTAATTCTCAGTTTATTACCAAGAGAAGTGTGTGTATGTGCATGTGTATGTACTACTAAATTTGATTAAAAGCTAAAACTGTTCCCTGTACATAAAAACCCTGAGTAAAATTTATTAGTAGTACTAATACTAAATTATATCTTTCCAACAAATAAATCAAAACATGTCATCCAAGCTTTTTAAAACAAGAGGAATAACTCTTAAGTTATTTACAAAATAAAAATTACATTAGGTGTTCATCCTACATTGATTGCAAAATAATCGTGGAGCTAAAATTCTCAAAATGGAGTGGAAAAAAATAATTTAATACTGCAAGAAGATTCAAATAATTCACCATAAAAACACAAATATTCCATAATTTTCCACTATACCAAACTCTCCAATACATCTTAAAATACATTACTGTCAGAATGGAAGGAATAATGAACAGAACCTTGCAGAGCCTCAGTTGACTAATTGTACTTCATTTAGAGGACATGGCAAGCTGATTTACTCCTTCACTTTACCTAAATAAAATCTACTTTGATTTGCTAGAAATATCCTGGGGTATTAGCATTAAGAATGCTGAAGGTGATCTATTATGACAAGGTCTACTGCTCAGAAGAGTATGGGGAAGGTTATTTAAATCTCCTAAGGGCAAAATTTAACTAGGAAAACAAGGTAATAAATTCAACTAAAATTTAACCATGAATACCCACTTGGAGAAGGAAAAATGTGGAAAAGGTAAATTTTTACTTAAGGAAGCCTGAAGTGAACATCTTGAAGTTGGCTGTGTTTTTCTATTACCCTCTCAAGCCACCTTCACCTTATAAGGGTCCCTGAAGCTTAATCCTCTGGCTCAGATAAAGCATACAGGCAATTATTTTGCTGAATTTGTGAAAAAGAGTAGTATTACAGTAACACAGGTAATCTAGGTGAAAAATAAAGCTCAAGTAACCAGGTAATTTTATTATAATGCAATAAAATTCACAGGAATCTGACCCTTTCATCAGTCTCAAGGACACTTTTATGAATTTGTCTCTTTGATTTTAATTTAAAATAATGCTAGTTGGTCAAACTCTAATATAGTGGTGTAGAGTTTCCTGTTGTATGTATATATAGTAGTTAAATGTGGAACTCAGATATAGATATAGATGATACAGACATGTATTTCTTTTTAAATAACAATTAAAATTTTCTCACTCAACTAGTACATCCCCTCAGCTTCTCTTTTTAATTTCAATTTTTTTTTGTACCAGGAATCAAACTCAGGACCTTGCACTTGCAAGGCAGGTGCTGGAACCACTGAGCTAAATCCCTGGCCCTTTAATTTCAGTTTTATTGGTACAACTTAGATATACATAATGATCACATTCATCATAGGGAATTTGTACTGTAAGACCGAGGGCCTTACCAAATGCTCCAAGGAGCTGACTGCAGTGAAGAACACCCGGGAAGGAACACACCGGACAAGTTGGAAAGTCAAACAGACCTTTATTAGTCTGGCCAGACGGCACTCCCAAAGCAAGGTAGCTTAGAGAGGCAACTGGCTCAGAGTCAGAGGCTGTTTTTATAGGGGGTCTCAGGGGAAGTTGGCAAGCAGAAATACAAAAACAGAGGAGAGAGATAAAACAGACCTTTTACAGATTGTCCTTAAGATAACATATTCAGATATGGAGTTGGGCAAGCATGACAGAACACTACACACACAACAGATCTTCCTGGCAAAACAACAAGCACATCCCTGGAACTCGATGTCTACCTGGTGATCCATAACAGAAGCAGACAAGTTGGGGCCCTATTACAAAGATGGAGTAACTGTT